GTTGGCCTATGAATTACTTGGGCCTTCCCTTGGGAGACAATCCGGAAAATGGTAATTTTTGGAACCCGGTGGTGGACAGAGTTACAAAGAGACTAGCTTCCCAAAAGAGAAACTACCTATCTTTGGGAGGGAGGATAAACTTAATCAAGTCAACCTTGGCTAATTTGCCTGTCTACTTTTTATCGGCATTCAAAATTCTAGTTGGGGTTTCCAAAAGCCTAGAGAAAATAATTAGGAACTTTTGGTGGGAACTAGGGGAGGAAAGAAAGGATCACAGGGTCAGTTGGGAAATTGTAATTAAAAGCATGAATTTTGGAGGCTTAGGAATTGGAAATCTTCAAAAAAGAAATATGGCTTTATTAGGAAAGTGGTTGTGGAGGCTATTGATAAAGGACAGGTGATTCACCTAAAAGTGGGGTGTTCTTCATTCCAGCTTCAACTATACAGTTTCACCTCAAAATTTTAACACTTCTTGTTGCAGTAATGAGGTTTTCTACTGGTTTTTATATTTTGCTGCATCAACAGGTTATAGGCTAAGGTGATCTTGAGTGTTCATGGGTTGACAGCTGAGGACAAGGATTCGGGAGCATTGGTTCGAGCTACTACTGCTTCTTCTTGGAAGTCTATACATGTCATCCTACCTTCCTTTTATTATGAATAACCTCTGTGGGTGGGAGGCTTGCCCTTGAAAGATTGATTTCCCTCTCTTTGCTTTGTCTGACTACAAAAATGAGCCAATTTCCACTTTCCTCTCTTCTCCTGTTTGAGGGTCTTGAGGTTGCTTGGGATTTGGATTTCAGAAGGGGAGCCAGGGATTTGAATCTAAACAGTCTTTTGTCTCTACTTCAAATTTTACAAGGAATTTTCTTGGGCCCTTAAAAGTTGGACTCATGTATGTGGATCCCGTCTCCAACTGGTACTTTTACCTGTGCTTCCTTCTTCAAAGCTTTAACATTGCCTTCTGATAGTGTTGAGCAAACCTTTCCAGTTAAGGTAGTTTGGGGCAAATCGATTCCACCTAGGATTGGGGCTATCTGTTGGGAAGCTATCTTGGTAAGGATTAACATTGATGATCTCCTTCAAAGAAAGAAGCCTCCTTGGCGCTTATCTCCTAACTGGTGTGTTCTTTGTAAAGTTGATGGTAAGTCTTGCTTTCACTTATTAATTTCTTGTTCATTTGTTTCTTCTATTTGGGAATGGTTTCTTTCTTTGTTTGGTTGCAGATGGACTCCACCAAATGTACGAAGTCTCTTTGATTCTTTGTTGGTAGCTGGACAAAGAAGAGGGGGAAGGTTTTGTGGAGATGCACAAGGGATGCAGTTTGTTGGACAATATGGGAGGAAAACAATCGGAAGACATTTGCTGACAAGGAAAGGAATAGAGGGACAATAATCAAAGTAATCACTACAAGGGTAATACAATAAGTGAAATTTTTGAAGTTATTTGAAGTAATTTCTACATCATCTCTACTAAACAATTGGAAGAAAGTGGTTTGTTCAGCAGCTTCAGCTCCTAACAAGAATGCTCCTCATCCATTGTAGACTATTCCAGATCCTGGATTCATAAAGCTGAATTTTGATGATAGCAATGAAGGAAACCCCGGCCCTTTAGGCATTGGAGGAGTCTTTAGGAATAAGGAGGATGAGATTATTGCTAAGTTTTCAGGCCCAACTGGGGAAGGAGATTCTCTCCAAGCTGAAATTATGGCTGCCTTGTAAGGAGTCAAAAAGGCTACATAGCTCACCATAAGAAGTTTGATTATTGAGGGAGACTCTAAATTGGTAATAGACTGGCTGAAAAAGGACAGCAGCATGTGGAGTTACTTAAATGAAAAAAAGAATCTTTAAATGCTTCACTCAGGATATGATAGTGAGGTTACAATGGGTCAAGAGGTGTGTTAATTCCTTTGCAGATGCATTGACTAAACAAGGGGTGGGAAGAAATCATTTATTCTGGGCTTATATGTATTTTTTTAGCTTTTTGGGGGAGTTAAGAGACAGAAGCTCCCAACCTAAGATCTTTCCCATATCATCCTAGATGAACAAGTTTGAGGAAGTAGGAAGAGACGATAATCCTTTTACAAGTCCATCTTCCAAACTCACAAGTCAGTCCTTTATGTTGTATCTCACTAGTTTGCTGACAACAGTGTTGCTGCCAAACAAAAACAATGAGATACTGAGTTTATATATGCAGTTTGGTAAAGTTCAGTTGAAAACTGGAACTTTTGCTCATTACAGTAACAGGGAAATGAATTTCTGGAGTTGAAAAGGGGATCATGAAATCCTTAGTTTTTTTTTATCAATAACTTTGAAATCATGAAATCCTTAGTTGTCGAAGAAAATCTAGTAAATGTAAATGCATAGGTACTACAAGCATTCTCTTAACCCACCAAAATATAGACCAACCAAGCAAAATCATTTCACTTATCATCAAATTGAACTATGCATGTGAAATCAGAAGATTAGTGGACTAACATGTCCACTAAAGCCTCAAATAGATCATGAAATATAGGGAAAGTTGAAGGCAATCATGACATATTACAAGCAAAAAGAGTTCCATTACTGACAAAAGAAAGGGAAAAATGCTGGAGTTCTACGTTATATTAGTCACACGGGATAACAGATATCAATTAACACCTGAACCTTTACTTTCTATAGTTCCTTCCTTCAACAGGAATTACTAACTTATTTTTAAAATTAATACATTTTTTGTGAGAAGATAATTTTATGTTTTTCCTAGAAACACCTTTCTAGTTTCTCCATCCCGTTAACAAAGTAGAAACTGAAGAATCAAAGAAAAACGGCTAAAAAATTAAGAGAGCAAGTGTTCTTGTGAAGAAGAAGAAGAGAAAGAATGAGAGAGAATGAGAAAATAATGAGAAGAGAGGGTGGCACTATACGTGCTTTGTTTTCAGGACCAATTGAGAAAGGTGATTCAGTAAGTGCAGAATTCTTTGCTGCAGTGTTTAGGGTTAAGATGGCTAGAGATATGGGAGTTGCAAGACTGATTCTTGAAGGTGATTTGAAGCTGATAGTGGGATGGCTAAAGAAAGGTGAAGGGGTGATCTGGAAGCATAGGAATGAATTCAGGCATTTCAAATGCCTTTCAAGAGAAATTACAATTCAAACCAAGTGGGTTAGGAGATCTGTCAATAGTTTAGCAGATGGCCTAGCAGTTCAAAGACAGCATATGTATTGGGCTCAATTGTAATATAGGCTGTATTCTGTAATTCAGCCAGGTGGGTCTATCTTGTTTTGGGTTGGACAATGTTTTCACAACTTCTGGTTGTACTCTTTCTTTTTTGTTAATGAATGAATGAATTTCTGTGTTGCTAATCAAAAACTAATGAGAAGAGAGCAAAAATGTTCTCTAGACGCCTCCTCTCTTATTGTTTATACTCAACTGAAAGGTACAAAGACCATAAAGCCCTTAATAGGGCGGTTGTAACTAAAGGGATCACAAGCTTTAAAAAATAAAAAGAACAAGTGGGTGGTGGCTTCCTCGGCTCCAATGAAGGGCAAGAGCAAGTTCAATTTTGATGGTTGCAGCCTTTGGAACCCTGGAAACTAGGTTTAAAACTGATTATTGCATAGGGCATGAGGGAAGTAGAGGTGGAAACAGACTGCCAAACTATAATATGTTGGTTTAACATATAGAGGTGGAAGGCGCCAACCCTATAATGCACCTCGCCTGTGCACCTAGGCGCGCCTTTTAAATCACCGTGTTAAACAACACAAAATAGCTCTGATACCATGCCAACCAACATAAAATAGAATAACAACTCAATGAGGAAACAAGAAGAAATAGAAAAACACCAAGGTTTAACAAGGTTTGGCTTGGTAGCCTACATCCATGGGAGGAGAGGAAACATATCCACTAATGAGAACAAGAGATACAACTCTCTCTCTCACACACACACTCTTACTCTCTTCCTCACTCCCTATTCTCACACAACCACTTGCATAAATAAGCAAAAAAACGAAATACATCAGAATTACACATAAACCCCTTTTCTAACATAAATACATATAGGTCCCCATAACTTCTCAATATTACAAATACAACCAAATACAATATATCTCTCAACATGTTGGATGAGATCACAGGACATATTCCCTTGGGAGTTCAGACCAATGGTAAGACAAACACAAGCTATGGCTGCCACTTTGAATAGTTTGTCCAACTGGTGTTGATGAGTGCCAACGGTGTAGCAGATACTTTAGCAAGGGCTGGGGTGGCAAAAAATCAATTATAATGGGGATGTCCTGGGCCAGGGAGAATTTGTAAAAAGCTAATAGTTGGAATTTCACTTATTAATTTTTTGTTTGCTTTGAATTATGCTCCAAGTTTGGAGTTAGCTATTGTACTGCTGCTGTTTGGAAGCGAACAGGCTTTTCTTCTATTAATGAATTACATTTTTTGTTGCTTATCAAAAAGAGATATTGATAAAGTAATTGCTATTGATAAAAATAAATAAATAAATTTGGGGTACCAAACATAGGAATTTTATTTTGGCATCTAAAGGTCTCATCATCATCCAAGCCTTATCCTAACTATATGAGATCAGCTACATGAATCTTATTTTGCCTTTCCACTCTTTTTAATGCCATATCCATTGTTAAATATATTATATGAATGTATTTAATATATTACACAACATTTACAATGAAGGCGGTCAATCTAGTTAACCTAGTCAATGCTTAGGAATCCTAGAGGATCCCATCATGGATACCAACCAACTAGTCAACAATGCAATCGATATAGTTCCCAACTGACTAGTTAATTAGTGCTTTCATAACACTACACAGGATTATTATGAGGATTCTGCCTACAAATTTCACCACAGAAATTGAAGATTGCTTCTAGTGACACATAAAACCATGATTAGAATTTAACCAGGGTTTAGACAGTAAACAACTAAAACAAGAATGATTATTGACTAGCTCAGAAAAGATCAAGTAGCAGCACAACTAAAAGAAGTGAAAGTCATAATTGATTACCCAAGGAAACCAAATCGAAGAAAAAACAGTAAATCTGCATAGAGATCCTCCTTGCCTGACTTTTTGATGTTCTGCAAAATTGTATCACCTTTCAACTTCTCAGACAAAAGAGAAATAATCGCCTGCAAAGAAAACAAGTACCAATTTAACACATTAGTCGCAGCAAAAGTGTAAAGATAATGAACCAAATTACGCAAGATACCTTCTCTGCTCTCTTGTTTTCTAGTTGGAGCTCCTCTTCTAGCCATGCCAGACATACTGGCAGACAGGACGTCTGAATAATTTTGGATGAAACTTCCAACCAATTCTCCCTTCTGGAGACATCATAATTTCCTGATATATAACTAACCTGTAGAACCAATTTATGCAATCTTTAGCCAGATATACATGCTTCTGAATTGCCTTTGTTTTGATACATTGATTATAATAGCATGTTGTGTTATACACTGATTGGACTTATTAGCAAGTTAGATGTTTCATTCCAATACTCTACATGAACACTGTCAAATAATCATAAGAATCAGCAAGAACCAACAACCCATTTGACCTTTTCTTTTTAGTGCACTTAATTGAAAGAAAACAACAATTTGCAATACATGGACTCTTATAAAATCTTAAGAATTGAGAAGAAATTGTTGTATAGATGCCTGGTATTCTAAGGGTTTGAATTGTAACATGGACTCTTATAAAATCTTATGAGAGAAGCATTATTCTTGGCGAACTAGCAGGAGGAGTTTGGATTGTAACATTTTGTAATACCAGTGTGATTATGGTGAATTTCACAATCCATGGATGCAGGGAACTATTGCTGACCCACATCGAATTTTGTCTTCTGTCTGTGTGTATTTACCTGTTTTGTGGTTTACTCTGTGTTTTGTTTTACAAAAAATGCAACGACAGTTGAAAATGGAGAAAAATCAACTGTTTCCATACAGAAGCACATAAGCAACCTTGCTCCTCTTTACACTAATTTCCCCATATTGTGAAGGATTCCAAAATCCAAATCAGTTAATTTATGTGTCTTGTGGTATTAATTAATATACAGATGATCTGAAAAATCACTAGCATTTAATCAGGATGACAAAGTTGTCTCTTTTTTTTTTTTTTTTGATAAATGGACTAAGTTGTATCTTCAAGTTCTAGAACCTTTTCAATTTCTATTCAGCACTACTTTGGTCATCATAAGAATTCAATTATTAGGATTTAGATAACCACAGAAGTTAAATTGCAACAATCTGTCTATTCTGAACTTAATCGCATAATCATGTATTTCCATTGAAGATATGATATCTACCAGTACATCCCAATGCTTATTCAGCATTCCTTTTGTTATTCTTTGAAATTGTTGAACTTTACAATCCAGCCTAGCCACTACTTCATTTAGGAGAAATAACCAAAGGATATGCAATATCGTCAATTAGATAAATAGATGATGAATACAGTGCCTGCCTCTTTCTTGAGTTGCTTCAAAGTAGCCCAAAGCAACCGTAACCTGGGACCCTCAGAGATGCCATACAAACTTAAAGGACGCTTGGTGCTGTAATTTTCACATTCAATAGCTGTGTTATCCAAATTATTAGCATTTCCAACAGAATTCAGGGCACCCATAAGTTTCCTTTCCACTGCATCCCAAGCATACTCAGAGTTGACCTGTTGACCATTATTAGTGGCACTGCAATTGACAACAGAAGAAAAAGATATGCCTAAATTAATTAAGCATCAAAGTGAAGTTCAAAATAACAAATTGTAACGGTATCTTATTAGAGTTGAGAAATTCCTAATCTGAACATAGAAGACACTTTTACCTTATAAAAGATTAATACCCTTACCCTTACCTACCAGAAGAGGTTGTATCTGCAGGGACTGCATTGTGGTCCAAGATGTTTTTTCTAGAACCAAAACAAGCCCTCCCGGAGGGCAATGCTCCAGCCATATATGTTAAGACTATGCTGGCCATTAAAAGCATCTGATCCACTACAGACACCAAATTTGAGGGTGATAGATTCTCATCACTTATTAAAGTTCCCAAGCAACAAAACCTGGATGAGCTCCTCCGGAGATGGAAACTTCCTTTTGAAATTGTTGCAATGGGAGCACTAACTTCACAGATTTCCCTTGATGTAAGCCAAACAACAATTTTCCAGTTCCGATAGCAATTCTTTCTAGAACAACATAAACAAACAAGGGTCAAAGAAATGTATTTTATTAGTTTAGATTCCACAATAACCTGTTTACCAAAAATAAAAGATGCCCCTAGAACCTATGTGTGTGTTATATAGGCCTTGAAAATTGGCATCATTTTCATTCCAGAAACTTGTACGTTGAATGGATATAGAAATCAAGATTTCCTTTTATCATCTAATTGAGAGAGAGAGAGAGGGACCTCTGCCTTATTCTAGGAAGCGCATTCCCAGGTGTAAAGTTGCTTGCTGTAAAGCCCCTTCTTTGCAGTCGTAACTTGGCATATGATGATACTGTTGCACATTCCGCCATTCAATAAAGTGTATGGTTTCCCTTGATCAATGCATTCTCTTGCCAATGTGGAAACTTGCAAGAATATTAAGAGGATGCCAAATAGGTTCTGCAACAAACACAAGCTTGTTAGTAATTTTTCTTTCGCCTTTTTTTTTCTTTTTGATACTAAGAATTAGAAGACCAGCCCACTTACTAAGACTACACAAGTTTAACAAACAAGGTGAACAGAAAAAAATAAATAAATAAACGGAAAATCCCATTCCCATCTTTGGATAACAAAATAAGATAACTCATCTGGTGTTTTTGCACTAATGTAACATATGTAAGGCACGGCCATTGGTATAGGATACCCTGATCAGCACTTGACTCCATTAAAACTAAGCAGTAAACTACATTTGTAACTGACAACTAAAAGGAGGCAATGAAGCTGCATAACACACATTTACGTGTCCACCACTACTCCAGTCGCATTATTAATGAAACAGTGGAATAACAGTTTCAGAACTCAAGATTCCAACTGAATAAGTATTCAACAGAAAGCAACTAAGTGCTCGGGACACAATTGCCATCCACATTTCACCAAAAAGATGGCTTCTTCAGTGATCCAATAAAGAATGAATGATCCCTAATAAAGCTAACCACATCTACGTATAAAAAATGGGAACATAAAATTCAACCTCCAAAAAAAAAGGAAAAATGGGTGGGGTGAGTAAATGTAATATCTTGTCTTTTTCGACTCTGCCACTACCACTACCAAAGTAATCAACAAAAAACTGTCAGAGAAACAACAATGAGCATTAAATGATCTAATATAGCAATAAGAGACTATGACTAACCTGATAACAGGACGACCATGCTTCTTTCCAGACAACCCGATCCGAGGGACGAGAATGGCTACTCAATCTATTAAGAAGATACAGGAATGCATGTGAAGAAAACAACAAATGAAGAAGAAGAGTGAAACCCTAGATCAGGAGATACAATGAAAATGAAAATGCAAGCTTACTCTAGGGTTAAGCTTGAGCTTTGGCAAAGGAGCATATGATTCCAAACTGATGAAGATGAGGATTGGATTTGTGCGTCCCTGGTTTTATTCCTTTTTTAACCAACCTCTCTCTCTCWCACACACACACACGGCGAATAGGGACACAGTGTGGAACTGGGAACTGAGAGAAGATATTGCAGCCGAGATGGCTCCCAGCCCTCAGCAGTCAGCCCGCCCCTGGTGGCTCGACGTCCAACATGGCAAGAGCGACTTGGAAAAAGTAGAACACTAGTGATGGGATGGACGGCTAGATTTTCTTTGTCGCCACAGGCTTCAAATCCGGATTAAAGACTTGAAGTTAAGGGAGCCTTCTTTGGCTTTGCCTTCGTCCCAACTCCCTAAGAACTCCCAACTTGTACGGCAACAGGCAAGACAATGTGTAGGGACTAGGGAGGGAATTCGGGATGGGATCTGCTCACAACAGGAGCATGAGACCGCGACCTACAGTTACTGCAATGGAGTTCGGATCTCCTGTCCACGTCTACCCACATAACATCGCAGATACATATGGAGAACATCTCATCCTCCTCCCATATAACAGGAGATGTTCCCAATAGTATTATGTGGGTAGAATTTTTATGGGCAGGACTCAGGAGATCCGGAGTCCTGCAATGTGCGGATAGTGCTGTTAATGGGTCGGATCTATCCAATGGATTCGTAGCGGCCAAACCGATTATTAGGGTTGGTTCCATGATTTTTTGTCCCGATTAATAATTAGGTCGACTCGGGTTCTTGCCTGTGATGGATCGATTCAGACCGAGAATCTATTATTTTATTATATATATAATATTTTCTTAATTTTTTGTGATTTTTATTATATTTATGTTTGAATAGTAAATTTGATAGATAATAAATAAGGCAATATTAATTAAGGCCATGTTTTGGAGTGATTGTGTTAAAACACTTGGCATCCAACTTTTTCAGGTATTTGTTTTTTTAAAATAAGTATTTATTTCATATTGGGTGTTTGGTAGTCTTTTTCTCCAACAAGCACTTAAATAATCATTTGTGACTATTTTGTCCTTTATTTTTTTTCAAATTTTACGAAAACACTTTTATAAAAGCACTTTTCTGAATATAAATTAGTAAAACCACAAAGCACTTTTATAAGAGTACTTTTACAAAAGTTTTTATGAAATAACTTTTATAAAAGTATTTTTATAAAAATACTTTTACGAAAGTACTTTTATAAAAACACTTTTATGAAAGCATTTTTACAAATGTACTTTTTATAAAAGCACTTTTATAAAATGGGCAAATCTCTTAAAGTACCCCTATGATTTAAGAAATTGACTAACTCTACCATTAATGTTTACATGTTGTCTTAAAGTACCCTTAAGTTTTCTGACAATCGTCTAAAACCTCCCTTGCCTTTAATTTTCTGTCACACTCTGTTCATATGTGACATCATGTGGTTGATATATTTTTTAAAAATTCCTAAAATACCCTTGTATGGTGTCAGTGTCAAACTGTTCCTCTTGATTTTTCAATGTTAATTTAAAGTTCAAATGATTTATCTACTAGAATGGGCCTACAATCCAAGGGCTTTATTCCCTAGAAGAGCTATCCCCTGACAAACCCTTTTTACCTTTCTTTGTCAAAACCCGAAAACAAAGCTCATTGTTCCATGCAAGCCCTCTGTTCCATTTTTCCTTACTAAATTTTTATTGTCTCTATTTCCTAGCCAAAAAAAGATGAAAACAATAAGGTTCTCATGACTTATTTGGTGAGAGGCATGCTCATAGATCACTGATGAGCTACTGCAAACCAAGGAGCCAAAACAATGCAGCCAACTATATAAAGATCAAAATACTCTTTATCTTTTTTTTTTCATCTTTTGGTTATATTTCACGTTTCTTCTTAGTAACGAACCCTTGAGGTCCTTAAATCATTACCTCCCTTAAAACTGACTAAATTCAGGACTAAGAGCATGTTTTCCTCTTAACTCTTATCTCTTAAGAGGAATCTTTTAATTTTAAGAGAAATATGGTTATTCATTTCCTCTTATCTCTTATCTCTTATCTCTTAAAGTGCAATCATACAACTTTTTGTTTCCAATGATACCCCCAAAAAGACAAACAAAAACTCTCATATATGGGGTCAAAATGGATATTTGATAATTTTTAGAATTCAAAACAACATTCTCTACATTCAAAGTTCAAAGGAAAGAAAAGTTCACCAATACCAATGTACCTCTTAATGTAATTTTTGCACTTTCAAATGTCAAACTTCAAAGCAAATGAGCATACCCTAAGAGAGGTAGAAATTAACTATAAAGCTGATATTGTGAGTCATGATTTAAGAATAGAACCGTACAAATTCAAACTCAATCATAATACTTGGCAAATTATGCCCAGAGAATAGGGGTGGATTCGAGTCGAGCCAAGATAAATACTTAGCTATTCGAGCTCGGCTCGTTGAAATTGTGTTAGACTCGAGCTCGGCTCGGTTCAAAGCTCGCAAGTTTGAGCTCGACTGCAAGCTAAGTTTTTTTCTAAAAAATAAAAAATATACATATAAAATTATTTTTTTATTTTACATACAAAAAATTAAGAATTATAAAAATTATTTACTATTATACATAAAAAATAAAAATATTATATATAAAATAAAACATTATTTATTATATATGTATATGTATATGTATATGCATATGCATAAATAATAAAAATTTATTTATTTATTATACTAGGCTCACAAGCCTCACAAGTCGAGCTTCTCTAGGCTTGAGCTCGGCTCGATTAGCAAACAAACCTACATATTAGGCTCGAGCTTGTCTCAAAGCTTGGTTTAAACCGAGTCAAGTCGAGCTTTTCATGAATCGAGCTCAAATAGCTCGTAAGAAGCTTGGCTCGTGGCCACCCCTACCAGAGAATTCGAATCTTTGCTTTTTCCGACTACTTTACTCACAGGTCACATCAATTGGCTTTTAGCCATAAACCCATAATCTACACCATTTAATTGATCATTTAATCTAAAAAAAAAATAACTCAAAAAGAAACTACATTCATCTTCATTAATTAATTTCTAGGAAGATCAAATTGGAAAACGAATGCTTCAACCCTACGATGATCAAGGTGAAACTAGGACTAACAGAGAGTTCCTCCAAGGCACAATTGTGATCTTGTCCTGTAAATCACCAAACATAATCATAACATTTATCCGAAAAGTATACAATCACAGATAGATTGAAAATAAAACCCTAGTTTTGCTATACTAGTTAATTTCCACGTTCCACTTCATCTTCTTGAAAATTTTCATTAGTTGGGTTTTATTTTGAAAATTTGAAGAATAGTGAAGGGTAAATTCGACACTTTATTTTTCTTTGTTAGTGCTTAACAACTATGTCAATTGTCAGAAAACTTAGGGTACTTTAAGAAAATATGTAAACAGTAAGGATAAAGTTAGTTAATTTCCTAAACCATTGGGGTACTTTAAGAAATTTGCCCTTATAAACAACTAGGGATAGTTTTATAAGTGGTATTTTAAAACTTAACTAGTGATAATTTTGGAAGAAAAAATATTGAACAAGTGATTATTGTATAAGCACTTATTTTGGGCTTATTTCCCAAACACCAATAAGTGTTTGGTCCCGACCCAGATAAGCAATTTAAAAATGTTTAATTTATTAACATATAAATAATTTAGTATTTAAGCTTAAACTTTAAGTTATTATTTAAATATACATATAGTTTTCAGTATAATCGGGTCTATCAAATTTGGACCCAATAGACCTAATTATTAACCGAGACAATTATGGGTTTGTGATTTGGTCTCGAATAATAATTGGTTTGGGATTGGCTCTACCTAGACACAGCCCACTAACAGTCCTATGTGCAAACATAAATCATGTTCAAACACATTGGAACATATTTTTGTTGTGAGTAGATCTGGACTTGATAAATTCGTGTTGGGCCTAACCTAGCCGACTAGCCTACAAACTTCTGCACATAGGCTTTGTATTCAAGCCTTGTCTAAGCCCAATTCTAGAAATGGTTTGTCCTGCAATATATTTATATATTACACATACACACACATATATATTATTTTATTTCATATCTATTTATCTGTAATATGTACAAAAGTGTGGATGCAATGTAAAACTTTTTTTACTAAAATGACCACCTATTTCTTTGTTTGAGAAAGGGTATAAAAGTCATTTTATTATAGTTTTAATGCCAACTTTAATGGCTACTATAATGGTCATATTTGTGTATTTAATCTATCTCTAATTATAAGGGTTGAAAATGTAACTTCAATTATTACTCTCCACCTAATTTAATCCCCTCTCATTATTATACTTAAGGTATTAAATCCCATTTTCTCTTATTAAATCCTATACTTGTAAGTTATTTTTCACTAATAAATGCAACTGATTAGATCAATGTCAATATTTTTAACAATATAAACCCACATATTTTAAAAATGATTAAAAAAGAAATCCATTCTTATTCCAAGTGGTGGCTAAGCAATTCAAGCATTTGAATCAAATTGATTAACCTAGGAAGACATGGTTAGGTAATAAAATTTTTAAAATAGAAATAAATATAGAAATTAACAAAAAAATGTAGAAAAAATAGACACATTTATGATATCTTTATAAATCAAATTAAAAAATAAGTGTAATAAACAATAATTATTTTTATTGATAATGAAAATGAAATACATAATTTAGAACTAACCAAAAATGAAATATAAAAATTAATAATAAATAGTTCAACTTTTTTGTTAAATGTGTTAACCTTTAATGACATAAATAAATAATAAAAATTAATAAAACATAAAAAAACAAAAATGAAAAAATACTTAAATTTTGCAAAAAAAATCATTTAGGCACATGTGTAATATCATGTATTTATCACATTAAACAAAAAGTAAGTGTGATATATCTGAATTATTTTTACACACAAAAATACCAAAAAATTATAGAGAAAATTGAACACATTTATAATTTTATATTCACACTATTATTAAAAATATGAATAAGATTGTCGAACTTTCTTTCAACTAAAATCAAGGTTTGAAAAACCGGTCTAGAAACATAACCGCTTTGTCATATGGTTTATGGATCAATAGTTCAATCGTCTAATTTGAGTAGGTCAAACTAGTAAGATGTAAAATATAATGTAATTTTTTTTACCATTAGATTATGATTAGGTTAAAGTCCACCATTTATATACATAATTATGAGAGGGGAGTGTAAGAAAAAAATAGAAGAAGAAAAAGAGAAGGAAGTGTCATTAGATGTGGTTGTCACCTTGTTCATCGGTTGTAGTTGCAGAACTGTTTTGTCTTGAGAATAAGAAGGAACTACT